TTAAAAATTTTCTTAGTTTATATTTTCTTAGGAAAATTGTATTGTTTTTATTGTTAATATTTCCAAATAAATCGACAAAATAGCATATAAATGTAAATTTAATAACTAAATAATAATACATTTATCGGACCTTATCTTTATAAATATTGGAAAAAGCTAATAATGGTCTTAAAGCCAATACGAAGAATGGAAGAATATGAGAGTATACGAGTCGAAGACTTTTGTAATTCTAAACGAGTATTCAATCACAAACGATAAGAATCGGAATGTCATATGGCGTGAATAAATTTCTCTATAGCTCTCGCGTGCTTGAGGCAATAAATGAATTTCATCAATCGTGGGTATGATTGAATAAGAAATTGCGAATCGAGAGGATATAATTCGGCGGGAAGTGAAGCAAACTAAAATAAGCTAGCGAATTCTGCTTTTGAGATCTCGATGTTAAAAAAAAATTTCGGTAAAAAGATATGCGCGAAACGCATGAAAAATAAGATATTGAAGTGGCGCGAATTTTTAAAAAATTAATTTCTCCTGCATTTTTTGCTACATTAATTCTTAGATTCTGAGCGAGTTTACTCTTCGATCCTATTTAAACGTCGAATGCAAAGAAAATAATTAGAAAAGCGAGGAAAAGAATAGGCCCTGAAAATCGGGGAGGAGCAGAGAATTTCGCAAAGAGTATCGATAAAATAAATATATGCCCATCGGAGAAAAGTAGCTGGGGAGAGGAAGAGGGGGAGACTCATGCCATCCGTCATCAATTCCATGATTATTTTCGCATCGTTTATCGCATACCTCCCTATCGAATTTCAAGGTCGCGCCATAAAATTATCTTCGCGTCGTTTTACGAGTCTCTCCCTCCTCTCCTCTCGCTCCGAAGATTTTCAAATGTAACGTCATCCGTTCTCACTCGTGATACATGACGCGCGTGACACGTTCTCGAGGACGAGCCTCACGGAGCGTATCGTGCACGATTTTTCAACTCGCACAATTGCACGAGGACTATGGAATTGGAAGTGTGAGAAGCCGAGAAAAACGCAGTACAGAAATGTGAGAAACAGAGGCAAAGCGAGGTTAGAGGCAAGATCGGGGTTAGCGTGGACTTACGCCTTGTCCATCAGCTCCCGCACTTTCCACATGTTCATCATGTTGCTGGTGTCACTGCACGATGGCTTACTCGCGTACGATTGTAACCCTCGACACGCGGGTACTCTCTTAACAAGATCGTTATCGGCGGTACGTTCGCTGAACGTTCACCAGATGTTTTCCGAAGCATCTGATAACCACGACGGCCGAACGGAACGTCACCAGGCGGTAGCCATGTTATCCCTTCCACGTTTGCATATCTCGCCGTGGTCACAGGTGTCTCCCGTGATCGCGCCACAAATGGCCACAAACTTCTATGTACTACTAGAGGGTGTGTCGGTACGATTCAGTTAATAGAGTCTGTTCGAGTTGCTTGAAATCTCTAATAATAGATTTGTTCTGTTTAGCTGAATTACAGTTGAGCATTCCCCTGTCGTTCAACTGTAATAGGGAAATGCTCGACTGTAGTTAGTTGATTTTTACATTCTGATTCGAATTAAATCCTCGGTGAAAACTAAGCTATTGATTCTTCATACAACAACTGCCAGAAATTCAATAATCTCTAGATAAAAACAAATTTCAAACGGTGATACTCACATCGATCAGTTCCTAGTATTTTTTTACTGCTTTACCAATGAGATTATTATTATTTTAAATTAGCCAATTAGCGATGTGGACAAATAATATATATTCAAATTTCTAACGCGCTGCGGAGCTGCACAACGCTTCGAAATTCCCTAGATGGTCTCCTCGACTCGCATTTAATTTATTTGGGTGTTATGACCATCAATGTGTGGTATCACTACCGTTTGCTGGATTCAACATGTAGGAGCGCGTTTAAATTGCTCATTCTTCCATATACACAACGATGGCAGATTTTAACGACGGGGTGGATGGAAAGTTAGCTTTTAGAATGCGAAAAGTCAATCCCGAGCAATTTCATACGCTCGTAAAAATGCATCTGTCCTTCGAATTGGATCTTAACACGGAAGAGTAAGTGATACCGTTACAACTAGAAATACTACGTATTTCTCGCATTAGTATACCGTTGACATTGACAATTAAGACAACTTTGACAAACAAGATCTAATTTTCGTTTCCTATTTTGCATGTTTTATCAATAATTGGCTTATTAATCGTAAATGATAATTTATAAATTATTCTCTATTATGACAAAATCTTCATTATAAAATATAAAGTATAATCAATATAATCAATATAAAATATAATCAAATTGTACAATATGCATACACTGATAATATCTTGATTGATCCTTCTTTAGCAGTGATGGTATTACTGAGAAAGCAAGATTGAAAAAGTGGGGTCTTCTAAACTTCACCAAAAAATCCAAATCTTCAGTCAATTTAGAAAAAGGTACAGAAGGTGTTATGTTATCTGAGGATGGTATAAATCATTTGACACAACTAATAGATTATCTGTCTAAGGAACAAAGTAAGTAGATGTTAGATAATGGAAAATTCAAGAATGGAAATAAATATAACTTTCTTTTCATCCTATAGATATTGTACAAGAGGGAATATTTCGACGGACTGGAAAATTAACAAGGCAACAGGATTTAAAAACAGCTATGTCTCAAGGTGTATTTTTAGATCTTGATGATGGTAGATTTAGTGTACACGATTGTGCTTCTGTGTTAAAAACGTTTCTGGCAGAACTATCTGAACCACTCTTGACAGATTTACATTATCCAGCGCATTGCCAGATTGCTGGTAATACAAACAAAAGCATATAGTTTTACTTATGATATATAAAATATTTACTATGATCCTATAAATTACTTGCAGAATTATGCAGCTTGGATGCAAAATCAAATGATGCAAGACTATTGAGTTCCTTACAATTGCTATTGCTGCTTTTGCCACCTCCTAACAGAATTTTATTGAAAGCTATTGTTACCCTATTGAACAAGACAGCGAGTTATGAATATAGTAACAAAATGAACAGTGATACGCTAGCCACTCTCTTTACACCTCACTTATTGTGTCCACGAAAATTGACACCTGAAGCTTTGCATATCAATTCTCAGAATCTATCTTGTCTAGTTGCATTTATGATTAGAAAAGGTACGGAAATGTTTGAGATTCCACCAAAATTGGCTACAGATATAAGAGCATATTGGGTGGAACAAGAAAGAAAATTGCTGAGCCCTAAGAAGACTGATGTAAGTTTCAAATTTAAAATGATACTCTGTTTTATCCTTACGCAATATGATAAAAGATTTACGATTACAGTTAAACGAGTCAGTACCAGATGCAACTAGTACAGCTCATACTGTATTCAGTTTTGTTGATCGTAAATTAACAGCGAAGGCTAATTCCACGCAAGACACACAGGCCGCTTTGGCTCAACTATATGCTCATATACAAGCCATGCCAGAATCTGCCAAAAAGCGGCGACTTGTAAAACAATTTAACAAGGAAAATGGACAAGGTACACCCAGGCACGTAAAGAATTGCAAAACCAAAAGTCTTGGAGATTCCATTAAGAAACACATCTTTCAAAAGAAAATCCTAGGTCACAAGAAATTCGTTGACATTAATATCGGATGCAATATCACTAGATCGAGCAGTGAAGAAAATATATTGTCAACGGTTAGTTTCCTTATAAGCTTTGTCTTTCTATGGAATATTTTTTATTATACGTTCATTTGTTTGTATAAAAATAGCACGTTTATTACTTTTATCTATTTTTCTTTGCATGTCCTGTATAGAAATTAGAAGATTCATTTCTTCCGGCAAGAGCGATTCTTAGCAAATCAAATGATGAACTTAGCATGGAAAACTGTGATACAATTAATAACGATCTTTTACATGTCAAATATACGAATAATATAGATAGCATTAAGAATGAAACTTTGACAAGTTGTAGAACAAAAAAGATAATATCAATCGATGAATCTACAGATACAAAAGAGGAATTGGATGGAAAAAACATACATGATACAAAACAGGATTTGGGTTCTGTAGAACTTAGTTTGAGTTCAAGTTTACAAGAAATTAATGTAATGATTAATGAGGATAGTCACTCTGATACTGATAAATTAACACGACCACTTAGTGAGCCACCTGACTTGTATTCCACTCATAATAATTTAATGGACAATAGTAAATTTATGCGGCGAAACTCGGAATCCATCCTCACATCTGTTGCAAATGTAAAAAGCTTTCCTTCAAAAACTTGTATCTCGAATGTAAAATCATCCGAAACTACTTTGAATGTTGAATCGCACGCTGAAAATGCATGTACACATAATTTACAGTCTCCGATAGTAAAAAACAGATTCAGGAATGTGTACGCCGTTCATACATCGACGCCATCAAGCTTATTACGAAGCTTTGCAACTAACGACTATATCTTGACTCCTATTACTAACAATGATAGAAGCATGAGTCCGATTACGCAAAGCGCAACAAAGATGACGAAAGCCATGCAGGTACGTAAATTGAAAATAATATATTTCTATATAAATATATA